GCAGCGAAAACCTGCATACACAGCAGCCCTTTGCGGATAAGATTGGCCACCCCTGCCATAGAAGGAAGACCAGACTCAAAGGGGGAGCCCATCCTCCAGGGGCCGGCAGGGAAAGTCAAATCGGAGAGATGGCTAAGTGCCGAGTCATACTAAGTCATAAAATTTGAGTCACAACTGGGAAGCAGGGAGGTGATGACAAGCCGGTGCCAACGCTTCTTCCGGTCACCAGGGAACCAGAAGTAAGGCAGCCGGGCATCCATGGAGACAGGAGGGCGAGCCGGACGGAAGGACGTCATGGGTAGTGGAGACGTCGCATGTAGCTGAGTGTGCAAGATATCTTGATAATTTGGGGTCTCCAGGCAGCACACCCCAGGAGGACAAGGGGAAATAAAATGTGCAATTAGTCAACGTAGAGGAGACTAGAGGCAGTGCTAACAGTTAGGTGAGTGCAATATGAAGGCAGATATGACTATGGCAGCATACTGTAAGTAGGAGGGAGAGGCAAGTGGGAATCCAGGCATGGGGAGTCCCTGAAATGACAGCACTCCAATCCCACAAGCGATTGGGAAGCTACAGTGACAGAACTGACAGTTCAGTTTATCCAAAGCCAATGCCACCAATCCCCACCCAGCTCTACACCTCACACTACAGGTCTAACTGGGGGTGAACAATTAGCTAAAGCTAGGGTCCCTATAGGCTGGACTGAACAAGTGTGTTTTTAGTCTAGACTTGAATATTGAGAGTGAGCCTGAATCCCACACATCCAGAGGAAGACCATTCCACAGCTGAGGAGCTCTATAGGAAAATGCTCTGCAGCCTGCTATAGTTTGTGAGAACTCTGACTGCTGCATTCGGAACCAGCTGAAGTTTATGGAAGGATCCAGATGGGCAACCAGAAAGGAGGGCATTACAGTAGTACAGTCTGGAAGTGCTGCGTAGATGATAAAACACAGTTCTAGTAATACTTATGTGAGCATCGAATCATAGATCTGTGTTTTTTAAAAAGCAGGGTCTGTCATTCCCTAGATAACTGGGTATAAAGGCCTCGCTCAGGGGAAGTTACGAAGGCATGTACAGTATTAATTTTTCTGCATCATGAAGAGAGAGCATCTTCCGAAGCTTGGCTATGCTGCGTAGATGATAAAACACAGTTCTAGTAATACTTATGTGAGCATCGAATCATAGATCTGAATCAACTAGAAGACCAAGATTTCTGACCACCGTGTTAGGTTGTGTAGGAAGGCCACCAATGTTGAGATGGTGAAACTTATTTCTTGCAGCCTTGGGACCTTCAAACAGTACTTCTGTTTTTTTATGTATTTAACATTTTAAAATGAAAATGAAATGGTTTTGGAACATATCCAAGCCAAAGAGTTTAACATGTTTAACAGGGTAGTGCTAGTCTGCGGTATAATTTCCTTGAAGAATTATGTAGGAATTGGGTCTACAAGGCTAGTATAGGATTTCCTGGAGGAAACTAAGCTCAGAAGTTCTGATTGTGTTATAGGAAGGAAAGATTGAAAGGTCTCATTATTAAGTATATCTTAATGCCCAAGCACTGAAATCATGTGGAAATAACTTAAAATTTATACCAGTATTATCGTGGACAGTATGATGGCACATCCCTAGTGCATATTGTAAATATCATATATTTTAAACTATTTCTTTTTTGTTGAAATAAAATGACCAGGAACAGCTTAGTTATGCCATTCATGTTATTTGTGACTCATGCCCCTGCTACTTTTGTACCATATAGTCTTTATTTTTCCAGGTAACATGCTGGAAAAAGAGCAGCATTTACTGTCCTGCTCACAACTTTATAGGATGACATGAGAAGAAAAGGAATTCTGCCATCTGATTTGTCCTTGAGAATCACATGCTTCTCCAGGCTTCCTTGCTGTTGGCTAACATTGCCAGGCCTGATTCAAACACAACAGCACATTTCACAATTACTGGGGAGCACTCACCCTCATTACTTAATCAGGCTTACATCTGCTACTGCCCTGAGTTTCTTGATGGGCTGTGAGGACGAACATTACATGGTGTCTCCATCAACGTGCCAACTGGCAATTATAAAACATAAGCAGTTTGATTTTTTTTGCTGATGCAGTGCATTATGGGTTGGGCCACATTTTTGCTTCCCAGATAAGATTTTGCTACACAGTGGGTCTGGTTTTTCATAGCGCTGCTCTTGTGAACGTGTCTGGGTCTGACACTCTCTTCCTTCCAGTGTAGTAAGTAACAAAAACTTACAAACACATGTGACCCAATTTTTTCACATATTCATATTACATTTTAGAAAATAAGACAAATCAGTAAAAATGCTGACTCTTTGATGAGATATTGATACCAGGGACGTGTTCCCTAGCCCCTTGGCGCCTGGTTTTCATCACGTGTGCTTGTAGGCTGTCTGTCTGCAGCGCTTTGGAGTATGTGACCTTCCAGCTCTGATCAGCCCCCCTGCTTCGCCACCTGCCCCCCTTCCCCCAGCTGCCTCTGCCTGCACTGATCATTCTGCAGCTGTTATAAGCTTCCTGGAGCATTATCCCCACATCCTGCCTCTTCTGCCCAGAGGTGCTATTAACCGCACTTCAGCCCTGAGTCCCAGCCGCTGTTCATCCCAAGGAGACGTGGGTCCAGCCTGCTTGTGGCTTTTTAAAGAAGGAATCAAGCAGCGGCCGCAAGACCATCTTCTAAAATTTTCTTTAGCTGATGCATTTATCCAAACCAATGTGTTTTTTAAAAAGCAGGGTCTGTCATTCCCTGGATAACTGGGTATAAAGGCCTCGCTCAGGAGCCCAATGGTGACATCACTCTGCCAACCCTGGGCTTCAAACCAGCAACCTTCTGATCATAAGCACAGCATTCTAACACGCTGAACCACACACCTCTTACCATAAGCAGCCTTACCCACAGTTTAATTCCTTAATGCTAACCACAGTAATTTGGGTGAAGTGTGTGAGGACACTCCCCGCTCCTCTGCAGGGGGTTAGTGCTGATTCGGAACATGGCTGGAGAGTGGGGGGTCGAAGGTGTTCTGTGGGTCCACAGCAGCCTTGCTGACATCGCCTTCTCATGGAGGAGGGGGGGCACTGCTACTACTACGATGTGTGAGGTGGCTTAAATTTGACTTTTTTGTAAAAGGCTGAGGAAGGTTCCCCTCAGGTGTGTAGAGATGTGCCGGTAACGTTCACATTAACTGTAACTTCATAATGCATCTATAGAACATTCATAAGTAGCGTGTAAATATACCTTAACGTCCTAAATACTTTAACATATATAATGTTCATTAATGTATATTAAAGCTGTTAGGGGATGTTAGGATGTTAAGGTATGTTTTTACATGCTGCTTATGAATGTTATATGAATGTATAATTCAGGTGCTGTTAATATAAAGCATGACCAATGTACCAAGCACCTATGATGCTTATATCTAAAAGCTACCGCGTAGTGCGCTGTCTTCTCACAGCCGGAGGAGACCTCTGCCCAGCCTTCGCGACCATGTGACCTTGACATGCTTCCTTGTTTCTGCGTGCCGTAGCGTGTGCTCTTCATCCCGAGGGACGTAGCCCTTTTCCCCATTTATAGACCTCCCATCCTTCAGCTCTCAAAGTCCTGCCCTCCATCGCAAGGCTGCCTGCTGACCTCATTCCACAAACGCGGGCGTCAGCCGAAAGTCAGCATGTGGTACTCAGCTGGTCTCACACTATGTGGCTGTGGGATAAGGGGGGGCCTGCAGGAATTCAGCCCCCCAGGACATGCTCATGGATAGGCAAGGGCTCATGGTAGATAAGTGGATGAGGTGAATCATTCTCCCAAAATCTGTGGGCTCTGTTGCCATGGATACTGTTATCTACTATAAGTGCACCTGCATACTTGATCTCATTTTGCACACACCAGTACACGCCTGCATCTGCTAAGTCCCACCACACCTGGGGAGCGGGGTATCGTCCCCCAGCATTTTCCTTCCCGCCAAGAGGTGTTTATCTAACCACAACATTTTTTTCCTGTTTTATTAAAATTCGAATTGGCTAGTTTGGTCATGTAAATGTATGCATCTATAACAAAATTTCTTCCTTTAATTAGCAGATATTAGTGTTGATGTCCAGTCAAAATCTCTGATTGCCCCCCAAGCCAAGGCAATGTTATGCCATAAGCTGGCTGTCTCCTTTTGAGTAATACTGCCTTGACAAACCCTGATTTGGAAGATGGGAATAATGGGAGTGAAGCTGTGTGTGTGAGGACTGTGGATGATAACAGGGCCCCTTATGTGCCTGGGTTGCCCCTTTCTGTCCAGGCTATCTCAGCCTTTTCCTGCTGTGGTAGCCTGAGCGATTAGACATTATCAGCTGTCACACACATCGGGATGGAATTCTTCACTGCCAGAACAAGAATCTCCGCTCACCCGTGAGGCAGGAAAATTAATGAGATTCCTTATTAATTACAATTAAACGATAATTACTGTTTATTTAGCAAATGCCCATATCCAAAGCAATGTTCAACTGAAATGAGGGTCAGTTAGTTCCTGGAGAAATTCAGAGTTGAGCGCTTTGCTCAGGGGCCGAACAGTAAAACCACTATGCCAACTCTGGGATTTGAACAAACAACCTTCTGGTCTCACTCATCGGGTCCCAACAACCTAATCTGCACGCTGCCCCCCTGGTCAAGGGGTCAAGCATGAAAGAAAAGCATGAACAGAAATGTGGTTCTTTGTTCAGTGTATGTCTGCTGTCTTTTCAGTCGGTATCACTTCACAGAGTGGCAATGCCAGCCAGCTCTGCACATGGGTTAGCTGTTCTCCAATCTGTGACTCAGCCAACTCCCACAATGCATCATTCTCACAGTGGCTGCCATGGCTACAGTACTGAAAGAGCACATCTGAGTGCTCGCAGATGTTCCGAGGGACACATTTTGGTTGAGAAATGCAACTCGACGGTTCCGTCACTTGAGTACTTGTCAGCTTCCCAGCAGCCTTTTAAATGTGCGTTCCTGTTCCACAGATGGCATTAACAGCCCGGGGTCGGGGGGGTGCCGCTCTCCCCCACGGACCCAGGAGGTCGTCATCAACGGGCAAACTGTGAAGCTGAAGTACTGCTTCACCTGCAAGATCTTCAGGCCGCCAAGAGCCTCTCACTGCAGCCTCTGTGACAACTGTGTTGGTGAGCATTTGTCTGTCTGTGTGTCTGTCTGTCTGTCTCTCTGCATCTGTGTCTGTGTGCGTCTGCCTGTTTGCCTGTATCTCTCAGTGTATCTGTCTGCCTGTGTATGTCTGTTTGTCTGTCTGTGCCTGCCTGTGTCTGTCAGGCTTCACGTTGTTCCTAAATGTTCTCCACTGAGCTCACAGCAATGCAGTGTTTCTCATGCTGTCCCGCCAGACTCTGTGCTCTCACCTGATGCTCTTGCTCTGTCTCCCGCTGTGCAGAGAGGTTTGACCACCACTGCCCCTGGGTGGGCAACTGTGTGGGCAAGAGGAACTACCGCTACTTCTACCTCTTCATCCTCTCGCTGTCCTTCCTCACGATCTTCATCTTCGCCTTCGTCATCACGCACATTGTCCTCAGTGAGTAGCAGCATCAGGAACAGTGGTCAGATGTATCCACTGGATACATGAACAGCTGTGATGTTATAAACATTAAAGGCAAGGCTCTGGTTGGGCACTATCACACATCACATAAACCTTCCTGTGAATTTCCTGAAACAAAACATTTTTTATTGGTCAACAACAGTCTTTTGTGGCAAAGTTTAAGCAATTCTGACTGGGTAATTTGTAGGGGGGTAGTAAGGGTCCCCCCCACACGCATTGTTCAATGACAGCCTTGCATAAAGTGATCATTTAATTTAGTCTGACTCTCAATTCATTAATAAGTTATTAGTCTGTCTGAGTCTCATTTATAACAAATGCTGTAGGTAATGGGGGGATCATGTTAGGCTACAACGTGACTGATTCAAAGAAGGGATGGTTTTAATGTAGAGACAAGATGTATGAGTTAAGGCTTAGATGTGTAAAGAGGAGAGGATGGAATAGGGGAGGAGGAGATGAAAGGGTGGAGTAGGGGAGGAGACGGTACAGTAAGGGATGAAGGGAATAATGGCGGAGCAGAGGGAGTAGGGGAGAAGAGGATGAGTGGAGGATGAGAAGATGAAAGGGTGGAGTAGAGGAGGAGACAGTACAGTAAGGGATGAAGGGATGGAATAATGGAGGAGCAGAGGGAGTAGGGGAGAAGAGGATGAGTGGAGGATGAGAAGATGAAAGGGTGGAGTAGAGGAGGAGACAGTACAGTAAGGGATGACAGGATCGAATAAGGGAGGAGGGGAGGGAGTAGGGGAGAAGAGGATAGAGTGGGGAAGAATGGGTGAAGGAGGGGATGAGAGGGTGGAGTAGGAGATGGAATTGGGGCGGAAAGGGTGGAATAAAAGAGGCGAGGGTGAAGTAAAGGAGGAAAAGGTAGAGTAGGGGAGGAGACGGTGGAATATAGGATGAGAGGATGAAGTAGCAGAGGAGAGGTTAGAGTTGGGGATGTAGTTGGGGAGGGGAGGGTGGAGGAAGGGGATGAGAAGGTAGAGGAAGGGATGAGTAGGGTAGGAGGGGATGAAGGAGGGGGTGGAGCAGGGGATGTGAGGGGTCCTTTACTGGTTCTGTGGCATTGCTTCTGGCCAGGCTGAAATGTGGGAGGCTGTTGTCGACCAAGCTGCTGCAGGGATTGCGTGAATCATGCCAACACTTTGCCCCTGATTTACGAAGATCAGGGTTGCCAGATGTGCTCTGTGCACTTTCAGCAGGCAGCAAGTCACGTGGGGGATGTGGCAAGCTCAACCTCATTGTTTTGTGTTTCTCATGCAGGGTCCAATCAGACTGGCTTCCTCAGCGCTCTCAAAGACAGCCCTGCCAGATATCCATCCAGTAAGAGGCGGCGTGTCAGCTTGTGTCCGTGTTGTAACAGCCTCTGCGTATCAGGCCCCACCAGCTGGCCTCCCCAGGCACACAGTCCCGCCCCCATTTCCTTTATTACATCCACCCCACTCCTGTGTTCATCACTGCATATGACAGTTTATTTCTGCATAGTTTATTACTAGTTATTTATAGTAAACAAGTCTCTTGACAGCAGTAAGGGAATATCACTTCTGCTGACTAATTATATAAAAGCTCTTTTTGTTCAGCAAAATCAGTGACATTGTGATAACAGGGATTATCGTGGTCTTATACCATGACAGCCACACAAAATAGTCTTTTATGAATAATATGAAATAATAATTAGTGCACAACAAGCTTTACACCCATACAGCCTTTGCCCTATACTGTTGACCTACAATATATTATTCCCTTGTGAAATATACACCTGTGACTAAGGGCTCTCCCAGGTGGACACATGGGGGCGCTGTAAGTACCAGGGTGCTCTTTAATTAGGGTTGGCAGCTCTCTGAACGTCAGCCTGCCTGTATGTTTCTGCGTCTGTCTGTGAGAGAAGGACCCCAGCCGCCCCCCCCACCCCCTCCTACGCCTGAGCCACTAACAGCTTCACAGTGTTAGCAGCGATTACAGAGACGAGTAGGCAATTACAGGCTGAAGTTTTCTATGATTTACAGATTAATATATTAGTGTATTGCCTTACTGGATATTTTTTTTTTAAGCTGCTTGGGGAGTCTTTGGTTTGTTCATACCTTTCCTCTCCGCTCGGAAGGCCTCTGGGTGACTCTGCCATAACATCTCCCACTATTACTCTGGCTTAGTCACGGCTGATGGAGTTCATGCTGATTCAGAGGTGGATCTGCGAGCTATGAGTCTGCGAGGGTTGGTGGATGAGCTCCGTGTGTGTCCCTGTGTGTTTGTGTGCACGCGCACATCTTTTTTTATCAACATCCTACACCCCGCATGCCCGTGATCTTGTTCTGGCGACGGCCACCAGCTCCTTAACCACTCCGATACTGTGCTAGAGGTGGTCGTCTGCTTCTTCTCCATGTGGTCCATCGTGGGCCTCTCTGGCTTCCACACCTACTTGATTGGCTCCAACCAGACCACTAACGAAGATGTGAGTATCGCGATGCCTCCATACCCCTCCATGCTGGCGCTTCTCACAAATGACTCCTGGTGATTAAACCCCTGTGACTCTTCTGCAGATCAAGGGCTTGTGGTCGTCCAAGAGAGGGAAGGGCAACTACAACCCCTACAGCTACAGCAGTGTCATCACCAACTGCTGCGCCGCACTTTGCGGGCCTCTTCCACCCAGGTGCGGCCACTGTGGCTCCAGACAGGACTTCAGAAGGGGTGGAGCTTGCTGGTTGAGGGGGTGTGGCTTCAAGAACCAAATCACCAGTGTTACTCTGTTAGGTCACCTATCCTTATGTGTGTATTATTTGCATGTATATCCTTCTGCCCCCAGTCTGATTGACCGACGTGGCTTCATCCAGCCAGACACCCCGCAGACTGCGATCCAGTCCAATGGAACCACAGCCTACGTGGCACCCCAGCCTCAGGCCCCTATGGTAGGGAGTCTCTCTAGGTCTGGGCCCTCCATGGCTGCTGGCTTGTGCTTTTGGGTTAACTTGAGGACCTTGTGCTTAGCACTCCGCAGTGGATCAGCTCCTGAGTTCCACAGTCACTTAGCTGCCCAGTCAGTCTTGGTCGAACTGTACCATAGTATGCAGTACACCCGAAGGTATTTGTGTGAGGGTCGTGTGTGCTTTAGTGCAGCTGTGTTTTGGAAATTCTCTGGTGTCACTGCGTGCTGATTGTGATGAAGCTGATGATCTTCTCTTCTTTTTCTTTCTTTTGCATCCCTCTTTGTTGCCTGTGTCTTTGGCCTCATGGCCATTTTCCCACGACTCCTGTCTGCCCCTTTGTGTCCCCCATTCACGCTCATGCTCACATCTCTCTACCCCCTCTGCACTCGTCCTTGAGTCCTCACTTTAGTGTGACCAAGATCAGTGCATTCAGGGCACTAAATTCGTTTTCCAGGCTGCCACCACTCCCCTGCTGCACAGCGACCCCATCTCTTTGGGCTCTGTTCCGCCCCTCCTGGGTAAGATCCCACTTGGGGTAGCCTGTTCGACCCTGAGCTACCCAGCTCAGCATGCTGCCGCTGCCTCCATGCCCAGCCGACCGTGGGAGGGGCAGGCGCTGGCCCACCGGGACCCGGAGCACGAGGCAAACCGCCAGCTTTACCCCCAGGCTCCTGGGCTGGGAGCATATGGTCCTTCTTCCCAGGACTCCCTGCACCAGGACTCGGTCCGAGGCCTGGTCAAACTGAGCTCCGTCTGACCTCTGACAGCACTCCTCTTGCTCTCCACAGGAAGTGACCTCTGACAGCTGCTTCCATAGCTCCTTATGGTCCTCCTATTTATTCGTGCTGCCAACAGCAGTGTCAGCAAAGCCCCCCCCACTTTAAGACTGCTTTGCCAAACAGAGAATGGATACCTGGATCCTCTCTGAGCACTTTAGACCCTCATAATTAGACATCTGCCCCCCAGCCCTCCCCCAAAGTCTGAGGAGGAAGACAGTAACTCAGGAATGGGAATGAGGATATCATCTCTACTGCCAACAGCCAAAAGAAGCTCCACCTCAAACTGCCAGTCTTGATGATTTCTTTCCCACTTTCACAAATGAAAACTGATTGTTCCTTTTCGTTATAAGAATGGTCCCTGTTGTTCATTGATTATCAGTCTCTGCCTTTTTCTGAATAAATTCCTCCAGACTTTCATCATTTAAGTCAACAGCACGAATGAGTTTCTGTCTGATGTTTGTATGTCGTTGCTTTGCTAAACGACACTGTGCAAGTTTTCCATCAGGTCATTTCTTACTGTACGCAATAAATTGATAACCTTTAATGTGTCATTTGAAGATGCATTTAAAACTTCAGCTCTCCTACCTAGAAAGGCTTTGTAATGTTAAGATTGTTGTTGAATACACTCAGAACACTTTTAAAACAGGTGATTTGTGTCAGGGTGCTTTTCCTCTTCAGAAACCTGCATCTGCAGTGTCTAGAAACAGCTGCAATCTCCACCAATCTGAGGAAACATACATTTGTTGGTTTCAGCCAAACATCATGGCAACTCGTGCTGCTTCGCAAAAAGATTGAGCTTCCTTCATGTGAAATTAGTTTTTTTTTTCACAGATTTATGAGAATGTCTTTGTATGCTTGTAAAAGCCCCGAGATATTTTAGCCCTTTCGATGGGTCTCTATCACCCTCTGGTGGTGAGAACATAGAAGTGTTAGAGTCCCATTATGGAACCATCTCCAGGTCACAGCTGACGGATTTCACTAGATCAAAACTTTAGAACAGATTATGCTGGCGTTTGCTGAGTATTGGCATGATTGGCTTATTGGAACATGTATTCTGACTGACTAGTGTATATGTCAGTCAGTTCAGTGTTAATTACATTCTGAAATCAAATGGCAGATAATTTTGATGAGGCCATTACACAGGAAATTGAGTTCTGTTGTGTATGGGGCTGTGTAGCCGCAGGCCAGTCGAAGTGCTCTGACTGACTCCTGTCCACTGTCAAAGTCACAGGCTTAAGGGGTGTTTGCAGTCACTGTCAAATCCCCTTTTTGTTGCATCATGTGGACAGCTGGGTTGAGCATCTGTAGAATGTATTGGACCGACAAGTCTGATCAACGGCGATGTCATCATCAAAATCTTCTGCCATGTGTGCCACAGTAGCCCTTCTGTGGGTTCGTACCTGGAACGGCCTTTGTTCACATCCCACATCGAGTCCTGGCAGCACAGGCCCAGCATCCCGTAGCAGTTTGTGGCTTTTCTTTCACTGGACCCCTCTCAGTAAGTACTCACCATGGCTAGCTGCAAACACCCCACAAGCCTTGCTGTTTTGGAGATGCTCTGACCTAGTCGTCTTGCCAGAACGATTTGGCCGTTGTCAGTCACTCAGATCTGCATCCCTTCCCATTTCTTCTGCATTTAACATGTCCAATACGAGTATCATATTTACCACCTAATATATCACAAACCTTGACATGCACCATTTTTACAAGACAGCTTCACATCGGGGTGATCATAATGTTTTGGTTCATCGGTGTATATTGCTGATGAAATATGTCAAAGTGGTGCTAGCCAAGACACACCTCTGTGCCCACCCACCCATTTACCCAATGGGGAAACACAAATATATGATGTTCCAGGCAAACAGGAACTCTTGCTTTTCAGTTTATTCAGAAGCTCAAACAGTAGTCATATATACATGTTCCTATAATAAAGCATGATGCAAACCTTAGGCAATATTGCTGCATAATACAGGTTGGAGAGCTACTATTTAGCTGACAAATTTCAACTTAGTGTACTGGGAAACAATGCAATGGGGCAGAACAAAAGTGTCATTAGAAAAGCCTTTAAAAAAAAAGGAGACGAGAACTACAGCAGCACAATTTCCCAGCAAGCTTTGCTGTCAGCAAGTTTGGTGACATAAATCAAGGTGGAAGCTTGCATAGAGGTTGCTATGGTTAACTCACTATTTCTTCAGTGTCCCTGATTGAATTAAATCTGGTCTTATGGCTTTACTCTGAAACTAACTACTCCTAGACGTGTGGTGAACATGGACGAGCAGCTCAATATCGGTCAGCCTGGTTCCGCTCTCCTTGGCAAGTGATTGCTGCTTGATCATTAGTGAAACATTCCAATCAGTGATCATCCCAATGTACTGCCCCATCTAAGCAGGTCCCAGTACACCAAAGTACAGTGCCCTCTACTGCTGTCACCCTAAGTATCACAGTGATAAAATCACACATTTCATATACTTTTACCATTGTGCTTTTTTAAACTTCCATTGATATCTTCAGAGATTACAAATTGTCACGATATTAGAAATGGGGGTATGAATCTGACATTCAACCTAGATGGACGGATGGCTGGAATCTATGGAATTACTTCCACAGAACATGCTGAAGTTAGATGGTGAGTATGTGGCAGGTGGAAACGGCACATCTACCAAATGGACTTCCTGAGAAACCTCAGACTCAAACAGACTAAACATTACATGACCAGCGTAATCCAGGCTTCCCCCTAGTGCCAATATGCCTGTCATCTTATAAGCAATAACGACGTTTTTGAATATTTATACCTGCCGCAACTGTAAAAATATATTTTTACTGATTTATGCAATAATAATTATTTTAATCTGAGTTTTAATAAAAAGAAGGAATTAAAACTGCATGTTCGGTTTGGGCCCAGAATCAGTGCCTTGGTTTAAGATGTTAAAGTGAAGGACAGCTCAACCAAATCCATGAGTCACATGAGGAATGCATGTATGGGAAGGTGCCAGCCTCCTGAGGTCAGGGGTCGAGGTGCTGCCCGTCATGCTCAGGCAGAGGGGCACCACAGCTTGACGTCGAGGAGCTGCAGGTCGCCCACGATTTCCAGCTCGTCAATACGGTTCACATCCTGGACCCGGTGCTTGTAATCCAGCAGGTGCTTGCCGTTTACAGCTACTTTGAAGAGATGGGCCTCACACCGTGCAATTATCTGCAGGGAACATAGATAGACTGATCAGCTAGGGGGTATGAATCAGCCCAAAGTGGAGGAAAGCAGCAGGCCGATGGCGAGCTGAGTAGGGAGGATGAACATAGGATCTCTGTGTTTTCAGAATTTTTTTGTAACCAATTAGACTTAACTGGGTTTAGAAATCTGAAGAAATTACAAATTTGAGTGTTATGGTATTGATGATCTACTGAATACTGAAGACATTTCGACTATTAAAAAAGTTGGTGTGATTTGGTTATTAACTGCAACAAGAAAGAGAATCACTGATTCACAACTACAACATTCTTCTTCTTAATCGATGAAGGTGCAGAAGTAAAGCTAAATCTAGTTAACGTTAGCAGCCAGTACCTCAAAGTACTCCCCAGGGTGGAAGGGGAAGGGGATGGGCAGGGTGTTCTCCTCGGGGCCCCAGCACTCGCCCAGGAAGGAGTTGCGCACAAAGACTCCCGCCTTGATGCGGGGGTTCAGGTGCAGGGCAATGTCCTTGGTGTCGCTGATGCGCAGGTTCACAGTGAAGCTGCAGGACGCAGGTGCACACACACAAACAAACATGCTCAGCTCACTCTTAGAAACCAGCCTCTCTTAACTCAGGCG